AGCCGAAGAAGCACAGGACATTGTGAAATGGTGAAAGCTGAATGACTTAGAGTACTTTGACGAGTGATGGTTCAACACGGCACATTTGTATCATGTTCTTATGCACAGGATGCTGCACCCGCAGCGGGGGATATCGAGGTGAAGGAGGCAAGAGTGTTCTTCATGTCTGGGATTTTTCGTTAAGCGTTCTCAAAATTCCTGTGGCACGCCGCAGACGGCAGGCAGTGGCTGCAGAGGAAGTGGCACAGGACATGCTGGACAGGTTGCGCAACTAGGTAGGTCTTCCGTGATGTGGCATTCTGAATTTTGGGATGACTGGCGGCATGGGCACGCACAACTCCGCATCTCTCGTGGTTTGTGGCTGATTGTTTGCAGGATGCGACGTGCGCAGATAAGCAAATGCTCGCGGAGGAGGCAGGTGAACGATGGCAGCGCGCCTTCAGAACGTGGCTGGGAAAGTGCTCGCAGCTGCTGGCATGGCATGGCAGGCAGCAGAGCCGCTTGAGGAAGAAGTTGCAGAAGTTGCAGAGGACGTTCTTGACACGTCAGTGTCTGTGTGATGCCGGACCTGGGCTTTCCCAGTGGCTTTGGCCAGGAAGAAGCTGTCGAAGACAAGGAAACGGAGGCAGACTGATGCAGCACAAACGGCCTCATGCGGGCCTCTCTGTAGATTGTGGCTCAGCCCGTGCATGAAATGTGTGAATGTGCAGGCTTTGCAGCCAGCTCAGGCAGATGCGGAGGAATGCCACTCTGCAATTGAGAATGCCACAGAAGATGAGCTTGTAGATTTCCCTGTCTGATTGCGATACCAGTCGCAGGACACTGCAGACTGCAATGCAGACAAGGCGATGGAATCTGAGGAGGTGCATGCGGCAGAATGTCGGAATTAGAAGGCAGGTGAGCTGGAGCGGCTGGGCTGCAGTGATGGCCAGGCTGCTGCCGAAGACTCCCCAGAAGACGTGCCGGAGGACATGCGGAACAGATACGGTTCTATAGTATTTTACGGCGAACGTGGGGATGTTGGCACTGGCGAGGAGGAAGCTGGAGAAGCGCGGGGCAAAGACGAGGCGAGATCAGTTTTGTCAATGACGGCTTGGAAACAAGCTTTGCATGTATTGGCATGCCGTGACATGCCACGGGCGGGCCGGCTGTGAACTAGCCTTGCGTGGCAAATTATTGCGAAGCCGACGCAAGAGAAGTTGGCACTGGAACTCCTGTGCAGATACTGGTTGAACAGACACTTCTTTGATAACGTCGTGGGATTGCAGCTGCTGTTTGTTGTGCCATGTGCCATTGATAGTTCCGTCCATGGGGTCCATGCGAGCACCCAGCAGCAGAAACCTGCGGAGGAGCAAGCCGTGGCACCTACTTGTACTTATCATGCGTCAGAATCGACAGATGTACAGTGCTCACAGAGACGTTCTGGGCTTGATGGAGCTGTCGCAGACCCAAATTCAGAATGTCGCTTGAGGTGTTGGAACCTGCTGAAGGACGTGCTGCCAAGGCCACTCTGACATTGCACAGCCGAATGCCTTTCATGCTCTGGATAGCCTTTCGCAGGATGCGACCGAGACGGCGGAAGCCGCGGAGGCGCTGCAAGGGTTTCAGCGGGGTAGGCGGAATTTCGGACATCGGCACGATGTCTGCTCAATCTCACAGGCTCTGGATTCGTGTGCCTGTCAAGGCATCAGAGACTCTCGAGCCTGCGGCGGAAGCCACGCAGCCAGATCGCGTGGATGCCGGAAAACCCAGTGCACCGGCATCCGAAGCCGAGCACGCCGAGCAAGCCGAGCTGGCTACGCCGCAGACACAGACGACTGCGGTACCCGCAGAGGAGGCTTTGGTGTGGGGGCCCAGGCTCTCCTTTTGAACTTGATGTCTAGTGACCAAGAGGCTCCCGCGCGCCAGACAGGGCTGGGATGGCTCTATGTGCCTTGGCACGAAAAACTCGCGAACCCGACCTGGAGAACCGAATTTGTCAACCCAGGCCTCCACAGTGGCTGCGGCTGCGGCTCTGCGCAGCTCCCCGATGCGTGGTGCCCGCAGTCTGGCTGAGCGTCTGCGGAGTCGGGCAGGCGGGTCACGCCAGCAGAACTCCCTGTCCCTGAAGAAGGGATTGGCAGGAGAGCCAGCCGAGAGCGGAGAGACGCTGGCTGCCCCGGTCTCCACATCGCAAGGTGCTTCGGATCAGCAAAGCTGGCTCTGTGGAGCTTGCGGGAGTTGTCGCTTACTAAATCACCCTAGTTGTAGAGGACAAGGTCAAGACCGTGCCTCGATTACTGCACTTTCGGGGCTTTGCCAGCCGTGGTGCATGCATCAAGCTTTCTTCCCGAAATTCCTGTTGGAGACGTGAGAAAGCTCCTAAAGACTAGAGTTGCCTTGAAGACATTTTGGTGATGAGGATGAGGACAGACATGATAGTGGTAGGCATGCTGATTGTGAAAACGATGCTGATGATAAGGCAAACCCGATTACGGCAGACGGCTCAAGTTGGCAGAAAGATCAAGTGGATGATCACAACGACCAAGGATGATGTTGGTCGCGGCACGACAAGATTTAGAATGTCTTGATGCTCATGTTAATAAAGGTGATTTGTGGGCTCCGACGGTCTGTGTATGTCTGTGTTCACATGTCGGGTTGTCTGGGTGAAGGCCTTTTGAGCCAGTAGAGCGGCGGATGGAGAGAAAGAGAGCTCGGTCGCAGCATATTCAGTGCAAGTGAGCTTGATTGGCTTGATTCTGATGCAAGTCCGGTGTATCCTCGCACACGCAAGATCTTGTTGCACCATCACCTTACGCAAGTCCTTCTGCTGGCAAATGCAACTGCGAGCCTTTGCCTGAATGGTGTCGGAAATCAGGCATCGATACCTGCAAACCTGTAACCTGGAGCCACCTCTGTGGGACCTGACGAACGTGGTTCAACATGTTTCGGAGGTGCCGAAGCACCAGAGCTCCTTCGCGCACGGCAGCGAGCTGAACGTGCAGCGCAGCGCCCACCGCCGGCGGGCCTCGAACAGCCAAGGCCCCAGGCTGATGGAGTTTGAACGGGCGTGTTCTGTTATTCCTGGAGTGGGCGGGATTGAAAAATTGTACCGCGCTTTAAGAAACTCGGATATTGCCCGATCTTGGACCGCAAGTGCAGCAAAGGGTCGCGCATAGTTATGGAAGTCGTAGCAGAAAGGAGAAGGCTTCGGTGACGCCTGTGCAGCCTGTTGGTGAAAAGCTCAGGTATCCTGCAGCCGATGGCGAGGAAGAGGTGACCATTGGCATCCTTCTGCTGAAGTGCCGGTTCTAGTTCTCATAAACACCACACAACACGGCCGACTTGAAAAAGGATGCAACGAAGAAGATCAATATTCATGAGGAGAAGGAATTCTTGGGCACAACTGTTCAGCAGTAGCGACATCAGAGCAACATCCATCACGGAAAATGCCAGTAAATAGCAACAAGGTTGACTTCATACCAAGAGGACAAATAGTTCCAGCACCGTTACTGCAACAGAGGGACAGAGGACACATAGTGCCAACCGTAGCATGCCAAACCACCGCCACCACCACCGCCCAGCACCACCAGCACCACCAGCACCACCAGCACCAACAGCACCACCAGCACCACCAGCACCACCAGCACCACCAGTACCACCAGCACCACCAGCACCACCAGCACCACCAGCACCGCCACCATCACCACGACTGATGCTGGTTGTCACAGTTAACACAAGACCGGCAACAGAGAGTAGCAGCCTGATGACTGCGAAGGGAACATACAGTGAGTCAAGCCCAGATCTGCGAGGCCGAAGAAGAGGAGGCTGAAGAAGACGCCAGCACAGCATCTCCAGGAAAGACTGAGCAGCTTGGCTTCTAGAGCTTCATCGCATGACAGCTTTACGGTTCACCTCTGACGCGCGGTTTGATCTGAGGACTGCCGCCGTTGGGGTGAAGGCTGACCGGCATGGTTAACGTGCAGAAGCCGCATGCAACGGGGCAATTGCTATGCTTCTCTTTGCTGAAGGCGTCATCCCCTTCGCAGCAAAAGACGGCTTTGGCAGGACAGTTGTTGCGTGCACTTCGATCTTTGCTCGCTGTCATTGCTGCTCAGTTGCTAGGGTTGGCCGACAGGCACATCCGAGAAGGATAAGGCCTCGCCGAAGACCTCGGCAACTTTGCCGGTGCAGGAGGCAGAAGCGGCAGAAGGGGTCCCCCCAGACGAGGCACTCCGGCTGTGCAGCTTTGATCCAAAGATGCCAGCGACGCTGCGCAGGCGCCGAAGTCGAAGGGCAAATCCCAAAAGAAGGCCGCGGAGGAGAGCTCTGAGCCCAAGAAGAAGCCGGGAAGGAAGCCCAAACAGGCCGAGGCCCAGGCCGAGGCGAAGGCCGAGGAGCCTTCGAAGCGTGCGGCCGAAGCGGCACCGGAGGAGAGAAGCAAAAAGAAGACGAAGACAACGGCAGTCGACGTGCACTTGGAGGCCCTGCGCAGCTTAAAGACGGAAGCAGAGAGAGAAGAGTATCTGGGCAACATCACGCTGACCATGCGGATGAAGGTCGCCGAAGCGCAGTCGATGTGTGCCGATGCCTTGCCGGCAGCAGAGGCAGCAGAGGTTCAAGAGGAGGAAGCCCCGGCTCCGAGCGAGCCGAAGGCCAAGGAGAAGAAGCGGGGGAAAGCGGCCAAACCCGAAGCCGAGCCCGAAGAAGCGGCCTCCGAAGCACCGGCTCCTTCGGCACGCCCCCAGAAGCGTGCTGCGGCACAGCAGGCCGAGCCTGATGAGGTCAAGAAGCCAAAGAAGCTCACAGCGGCGGTGGAGAAGCACATGGATGAGCTCGCGAAGCTGAAGACCCAGAAGCAGAAGGAGAAATACATCGCCAAGCTCACCATCTCCATGCAGACCAAGGTGGCTGCAGCCCTCTCTGAAGCCGAGGTCCAGGAGGAGACCGAAGAGCCCGAAAGCAAAAAGCGCGCAGCCCCTGCGAAGGAACCGAAGGACTCGGCCAAGGACCACCGCGGTTCGGCCTCGTTGTGGTATGGGCTTTGCTTGCATGACTCCTCACAGGCTCGGAAGGTCGACGATTCCGAGAAGCATTTGGAGGAGCTCAGCAAACTCAAGTCCGAGAAAGCCAAGACTGCCTACCTGAAACAGCTGCCCAAAGCTCAGCTTTGCAATGATTTGCAGTGCTTCTCTCATGTGGCACGGCGTGTCCGCTCCCGGTTCCTTCAACTTGAGCCTGGAACTCTTGAACTTGCACGACGAAGACGACTTCTTACGTGTAATGCTCACGCGGATGCAGAAGCACCGTTTTTGCTCCCCACGTTCATGCCTGGACCCTGTAGTCGAACAGACAGCTCATGCCATGCATAATGCCATCACAGCATGTCATCATGGCCTCACACTTGTGCAGAGAACCTGTCGGGTCTCCATTCTGGCCGAGATTTTACGTTTCACATAGAGGGAAGGGGCTAAGGGTGGCTTCAAAGGAGCTTTGTACACCGAGCAATGAAGGAAGGGGACGTTGGGCACTCCGATTCCCTACTGGCACTTATGCCACTTATGCTCTTTCAAAGCTTGCTCGCAATCCAGATTTCTACGGTTCCCCTCCATCGCCACTGCTTTGCAGTTTCTCCCGCATGCCTGTTACGAGTGTCAATCTGATGACCTTTGCGATTTCGTAGTTCGAAAATTAACTTCAATCCTTCAGGGTAGCCAAGCAGAAGATGCCAAAAGCTCGACTGTCCTCGCTGAGGCCCGCAGCCACGCGGCAGCGCGTCGAGGCGCTCCGGGCCGCCTCTGCTCCCTCGGCTGCGCCGTCTGCGACTTCCGCAAACGCCTGCTCTCCGTCGCCACGGAGGCCAGAGAGTCGACAGGGAAATCGCTAGTTCCCGCCCGCAGAAACCTCCGAATCTTGTCCCGGGAAAGCGGGCGGGCTCGGTGTGGTTTTTGCTTTTATTGTGCAAGAGACCTGTTTAACCTTCTCAGACCTGGAGAAACGGCATCGGTTGTTTTGTGGATCTGCACGCGTCTGTCTGAGCCCTACACAGTCCGCCGTTACATATGCCTTCTACTACTACTGGATGACAGCATTTTCTCAGAAGGGCCTCTAGTATCAGCCTGTCAGGCTGGGGCCGCCCACGCTGCTTGAGGTCGCTGAGAAGGAGCGCGGTAGATTTCGCATTTCAAGCTCCCTCAGCCGGGAGGTCGGCACCCAAGGATTGGATTCAAAGTGTGTCCGACAGGTTGTGGAGGCACGCCAGGCTGAAAGCACAGGCCGGGTGATTCCTTCATGGAAGATCAATGGAACGGCTGGAGGCTGACCTTCATTTCCTGTTGAAGCTCGGTTATGAACTGCCATGTCTGTTGCAGCTCTCATGTCGCAGCAGGCGCTGCAGCTCAGCCAGAGCTCTCCCAGAAAAAGCCAGCTGCCAAAAAGTCGCGGCCTGAATTTGCACACACGGCCATGGCTCGTTCCTGAAGAGCACGAACCCTCTGCTGCCTCGTTGCCTGCCGATGTAGGTTTTGTGCCTGTCATGTCACACTCATCTGAGGAGGCCCACGGCAGTGGAAAAGCATTTGCAGGACGGGGGTCGACATAGTGACTACCAACATAGCGACGGCACCACGGCGATGATCAGTGTTTGTAGGGATTTCCAGAGACGTTCCTCAGCTGCAAAACCCTTTGAGAACCAGGTGCCGTCCTCTCTTCCGCTAGCTGCTAGCATGCTCGAGGTTGGGGTCGAGAGTACGCACTGCTCCCGGGGGGCAAGCAACCGACTTCCTGCAACAAAGGGTCGAAGCCACCCCGCCACTCAACAAGAGTCCCAAAAACTCTTGTCTCTGCTCGAGCTCAACTCTGAGCGGAAAGGTGGGTTGCACACGGCAGTGGGGCCGTGCCTCTGACGCGAGAAACGCATTTCTGCGAAATTACTCCTGAGATGTTCAATCAGCGGCACGTCCACAGACAGAGGCTCGCAAAGACCCGTCGCCGACAAAAGGCATTGCACACCATAATACAAGTATAAGTCTATAGGATGCAATTCCGCGGCGTTGCAGTGCACACAGCAGGAGGAGCAAAATAAAAGGTGCAAGCTTCAAGCGCTGTCCCAATGTGACCATGGAAACCGAAGCTTCAGAGAGTCTCGGCTGTCAGTCTTCGGAGCCGCGCCGGAGGGACAATCCTTGAACAAAGCGAGATGTGAGGTTGTGATGCCCTGCAAAAAGCACACTCGGCTCACATAAGATGCAGGAGCTGAGTAAGCTGAAGAATCCTCAGCAGCTTACTTGCAGTTGGATTTCGTCACCAACTTGCATGTGGAAGTGGGCGCACCAGGGGGTAAGTATCGGATGCATTGCTGAGGAAGAAGGAGACCTACCTGAGCAAACTCCCTCCTGCAGCTCGGATTCGCGTAGGAGTCTGGAGGGCAGGGCGATGCTTGCACCAAGTTCATAAACTCGGGGAATGAGCACTCAACCTAGCCTGTGCGCAAAGATTGCAATGTCTGCGTGACCTCGTATGCAAATCATTTAAGCTGCTCATGTAATTGGCTCGCCAGAGGCTATGCAGGTGAAGATGGCCGAGGTTCGGCACATGTTGCGCTAACCATGTTTCTTTTTAACCAGCTGTGGAGAGGAAGATTGAACGGGATCTTGGCCACCCACCCCACCCTTTTACGTTGCGCAGGCGATGTCCCTTGCTGAAGGCGGCTGCTGATGCTTCGTGCACGATCGCCGATCGCCCTTGGCCAAGGCAAAATAATTGTTCCGTGAAAAAGTTATCACAGTTCCCTGCCACGGTTTCGCCTTGTAGCTTAAGCTGCAAGCTTGAGCACGGGCTTGAGCTTTGGCGGCCTGGTCTCGTCGCATGGGCAAGCCATGATGAGATCAGAAAGTGTATGTAAGCCTTCAAAATCACTTGGACTTCGTGTCACATCCACGAGCTTCTCTGGCTTCGGAAAGTGACGACTGTCTGGCACTGCACGTCGCACGGACGAGCAGCACCGAATGGTCGTGACACATCCAGGTGACTCATGTGAGTTTCACACCTTAATTTTATGTGCGATCATGTCCTGTGTCCACGCATGTCGGTGTGGGAAGACACTCCAGAAGAATCTTGTCAGACTGCATGTACTTGCAACCAAAAATTTCGGATGGCAGGACCTGGGACGTGACACCTATTGGTAGCAATCTTGGGGTTTGATTGTTGTGCCGTGTGAGGCGGCACCTTTACATGTCGATATGTGTACAGCCAGGCGCGCATTGACGCAGACCTGTGCTCTCTGTTGGCCGCTGGGCTGTGGTTTGTTCTGGCCAACCGTCGCCACAGCCTCTCGTGCAGTCAGCCGCCCGACAGCGCAATTCGTTGAGGCGCTGCTCCTTGCAGCTGCCCTAGTAATTCAGTGAAGCGTTGAGATGCCGAGTTTAATCGCGAGGCGCCAAATGATCACCGGCCTTGTCGTTTTTTGATTACTTTGGTGGGTTAGGGTTCCTTCGATGCAGTGAGGTCAGTGGATAGTCGAGACTAGGTCCGGAGACGAGTTGCATTTTCGGTAGCACGGGCACGAGTGTAATCCGAAGTCAGTTTCTTGCAGGGCCCAGGTATCATTCCTGGAGTCCAGGTGTCAAAACCAGTGCACGCTTCCGCATCACTGTCAAGTTGAGTCTGGCAGGTCACATCGAGGTAACTTGGCTGACAGAAACGGCATACAAACGACCTCCGCGAGAGGGCTGTTTTAGCACAGAGCTCCGTTGTTTGGGAAGTGGCTTGATCGCATTGTGGTCAGTGCCCAGGTTTAGCAAGGCTTTTTCGACCTTGGACTTTAAGATATGGGGTACTGCACAGACAAACGCGGACTTGGGAGGGAACATGTTTGTTGCGTTTGCTCATGAAGCGTTGAAGTTAAGGCTTCGTGTTGAGGCTACTGCAGGGCCTCTGTTTTGCTTCGCTGATGTGCTACAGAAGTGCCTTTGGTCTTGGTTTGCACCCTCCAACGCAGAGCACACCGCGTGTCTTATGTCATGTTCCTTTCTCCCAGATGATGATGATGATGATGATGATGATGATGATGCACTCATGCTTCCTGGCGTGGCTGCAGAGTTAGGACTGCAGTTTCCAGATCCTCTCTGAGTAACCAAGGATCCTTGGCTCTTTGCAAGTGGCACTCGACACTGAGAACGAGAAAGTGGCAGGCATGGTTTCGTAGATGCCGGGAGGGAGTCGCCACCTCAGAGGAGATGCCAGTTGCAGCAACCCTCTCAGGTGCTGAAGCCAAGAAGGCGGAACTTGACCAGACGGTGAAGGCAGAGATTGCATTTTGGAGTTTGTGGACGCTGTGTTTGGGCTGTTGTAGAGGGTGCTGCGCTTCCTGCCCCGGCTGTGGGGCGAAGGGATTGGGGATTCAAGAACGACCCCCAACTCTAGACAAGCGAATTCGCCTGGTGTTTGCAGCATGATCGGCACCTTTACATACATTCGGCTCCTCCGTGAGGTCTTGTCGTCTCTGAAGACAGGAACCCAAAAATGACAACATTCTTCGGATTCACGTTTCTTCCGCAAGTTCCCGTTTCGTGCCTGAACCACCGTTTGACGTGGACAAGACAGGCTGGTATTCGTAGCAGTCGTAGCCGTTTCCAATCACTTTTGTGCGGACCGCCTTGCGCCTCAGGATGCGGAGGTGTCCCTCCAAGCTGCGAAGGTGCTTTGGCTTTGGCAGCTTCGGCACTCGCCTTCAACTCTTCAGCTCGCTTGGGAAGTGGCCTTGGCCGAGGCCTACACGTCCGAGTGCGAGGCCAAACTCAAGACGGCCTCGGAGGCCTTGCAAGCTTTGGGCCTTGGGAGCACCGGGCGAAAGGAGGCCCCCAGGTCCTGTCCTTGGGTCGTGACGCAGGCGGTGTGCACAAGCAAAGCTGCTCTGACTCAGCGGCTCAACGAGCAGAAAAAGGGCGACTGGGCGGCAGGAATTCTGAGCGTGCAGGCTCGCAAGATGCAGGGAGACATTCATGCTGTCGCAACTGAGGCGACGAAGGCATCGTGAAAGCACGGGCAGACAAGGCAGATGCTGTGCCTTGTCCTGCAGTTTCCGAATGTCGTGCAGTCGGACATGCCAAGGAGCTTCTGGAAAGCACCAAGTCGGAGTGCTTCGAGAAGCTGAAGTCCGGCGGGGCAGTCGCCAAGGTGACAGCCGCGACCTAGACTGCTTGAAAGGGGGGGGGGGTATCCGTCTAAATGCGGTCCTTGTTGGGTACCCTTGTAGCGCCGCTGCTTTGTTCCCAAACACACAGCAATAGCACATGGCAGGAGGCGAAGCAGTTGCTCAAGAAGATTGAGTGGCGCGCTTGGCAACCCGTGGACACAGAGACAGCGGCCATGCAATATAGCAAGCGTCGCACGTGTTGTTGAGACTGCAACGTGGCCAGAATCCTAGCCGCTCACACTGCATGCAGCTTGACAGCGCCTCCTACTCCAAAGAAAGTATATTTAATGTGCAGAACTGCACTGCCAGTCCACGGAGTCAGACTGTTGACACAATCGCAATCCCAGCCGTGGATGCAAATCCCCCCCCCCCCCCCCCTCCCATAAGTTGGACCCCGTGTCAGCCAGCAGTGCCGCTCTGGCGATAGATGAAACACGGCACAGTGGGGCGTGCCTGGCTGAAAGCGCGTCTGATTCCGGAGGCCTTTCATCAAGCAGACCGGGTCGGACGCATCGCTCATCACCGCGGCGCCTGCGACGCTTCTGAAGCCACCCGAGGAGCTTGATACTGGAGTTTGTGGGAGGGCCATCGAAGGAACGAAATCACAGCTTTTCCCTGCGGCCTGCAGGAACGTGGCAGCTTCGATCAGATCGCCACCTGCATAAGAGAGATGCTTGGCTTTGGCTGACTTTGACTTCAGCCTGCTCTGCACAAAGGTCCTTGAGCAGCTCGAGGCAACCTTCACAGCCAAGCTGACAGAGCCCCTCGGTTGGCAAGACGGAAAACTGGCTTCTGGCCACCGAGCCATAAGCTGTGTACTGTGCGGCCGGGAAGCGTCTAACTCGCCTCTTCGAGGTTCGAGACGCAGCTGGCAGAAGCCGCGCCTGCGGCGGAAGCGAGGGCCGAGGAGGCTGCGAGGAAGGGACTTCGATGGGTGAAGGTTGCAGAATGTTGAGACACGGCCAGTGTAGCCTGATGCGAGAGACAGAAGAGGTCTAGCGGGCCTTCATGCAGAGAGTGGTATCCCTGTGGCATCCCTCAACATGGCACACACCTGCCTGCAGGTGCAGAAAGCACAATCCGCACACGAAGCCGCCGAGTCGAAGCAGAAAGAGGCCCTGGGGTTGGCTTCTGCACTGTCCCACGGTTACACCGCTGCGCATGGAGACCAGAAGGAACCGGTTGAGACGTGCGAGGTGTCTGAGGAACTCTGTGCGGCAAAGGAGGCTGTCACCCGAGCATTTCCGAGTCCTGATCCCTACAGCATGTGCACCTAAACATTTGTTAACCTGGGCATTCGAAGGCACAGAAGGATGCAAATGCAGTGGTAGCAGCTGCAAAGAAGGCAGTTGCTGCCGCTCGGCTTTCAGTAAACCGGACACTCGACACACATCGAGAAGAGCAGGAGTCAGGAGGGGAATTCGTTGCTGAGGACTACCGGCCTGATTATCAGGCAGCCACGGAAACCAGAGATGCAAAGAAGGTGCGATTCTCTGCCAGTTGGAAACGCAGGAGGAGGAGGTGGAGGAGGTTGCCAACCCGACTGGTTCAACCAGCAACCCCCCCTGTTCTCGGATAAGTGCGCCTATGCCGCAGGAAGAGCTGGAGACCTACGTGGACGGAAGCCTCGCCACCTTCAAGGACTGCGACAGATGCCAGAGGTCACGAGGTGCCAGGTTTCTGGCATGGGTAGAGATGCGCTGGATCCCGCTTGGTTGTACCAGGGCAATCGTTACACGGTGACACACTCCTACAGGCTGTGCCAGTAAGCTGCTCCATGGTTTTCGTGGTTTTCGCCTGGCTGAACTGTGAGTTGTCGCCTGCTTCGCGCCGAAGAAGTAATCCGAAGTCGAATAAGGGTGGGTAGGAGGGCAAATTCCTTGAGGAGCTGAAAGAGCGCATCTCTGCAAAAAAGCGCCGCGAACTGGCTGCTGCCGCCAAGGCGAGGTGTAAGGCCTTCTACTGGTAGCACCAAGTTGCCGGGGCTTCGAGATGCTTCGGGACTTGAGATAAGGCTTGATGCGACCGCGGTGAGGTGGGATTCAGGGATTCAGTTTGAGCTGCTTGGATATGCAGTTGCTGCAAGCATCTCTATTTCCGATTCCCACGCTTCTCCTGGCCTGTTCCTGACTCGGGGCTGCGATACTTCATCCCTCGTCTGGTTTCACCTGCCGATCTATCTTCCACAAGTGCATCCACACGTGCCAGCCATGGAGTAGCGATGCCTCGGAGAGCCGGGGGAGTCCAGGAGGCCGCCAAGGCCCTGGCTGAGGAGGCGCCGGCTGGGGAGCCGGAGCAGGCGCGCGTTGAATATTGAATATCAAAGAGTTAATGTATGAAGTAGTATGTATTTATGCATGTGTATGTATAATTATATATATACACTCATGTTTACAGAATGTAAATTTATGTATACTCCTGTGCATGTATGTGTATTTATGTAAATCTATGCATATCTCATCTAAGTATATACGTATATCATGTTGCATCAAATCCTCTGCTTTCTGAAACTTTTCTTTTCTCTTCGCAGGGTCGGTTTAGGGTCGCCAGGTGGGGTAGAACCAGGGGAGGGGAAGGGGAATGCGATGCCGCCATCTGCTTTTTGTTTTGCAGCTTGTGCTTTTAAGTTGCAACACCTGGAGGACACTGCAGCTGGACAGTGATGCTGAGGGTATGCCGGCTATGCAGGGTTTGCAGGATTGCAAGTGCACAGAGTCCGATGCGACCCTGACATTGAGCCTTGAATGGATACCGGTCTAATCGTAGTGCACGCAGCCAGTTTCACGTTGATCTGGCCTGTACACAAGGATCCTTCTTCGTGGTAGTTCACGGGGAGGATGAATTGGCACACTAGTGCCGACAGACACAGCTGTTTAAGAGCAACATACTGTATCTGCCCAGGAGGGAGGTGGCTAATTATAGGCACCCAAGCTAACAAAACAGACTCGAAAGACCCATTGTCCACAGCCTAGACTACTTAGCTCCTTCCCATCTCTGTGGCTCTTTGGCGGCCTCAGGCCATCCACGTTAGTCCACGTTGCTGAAGTTCGCAGTCGCCAAAATGCACGGAGCTTCGCGGAGTTGGCAGGTCTGATGATAGGTGCCCTGCCGGAACGCTATCCTTCAGTGTGCCAGGGACAGGGGAATGGCTGAAACAGCCACGGATTCCACCTCTGTTTTCTTCATCAGTCATGTTACACATGTCGCGCGGCAACGCAAGTTGGTAAAACGCAGCCGCTTCGTTCGAGAAGGTCGGTCCAGACTTGATCTTCGAAGCCTCCTGCATGCAGCGATGGCTTTTGCTACAAACGGGCCGGAGCTTCAATTTCCTTTCAGCCCAAGTGTCATCCAGTACCGCCTTCGCTTTTACTATGCTATTGGCAATAATTTCCCCAGCACAGAACCTGCTGGTTCGGTACATTGATGCACCTTTCACTACAGACTACGATGTCCTTTGCCTGGGATGCGGAGACTTGCGGCATTGCTTGTTTTCGTTGGCAGGCTATGTAGATGTGTTCAAGCCCGGGACTCTCGTGGAGCTGCATGGGCTCACAGGCAGTGTGCACCTGAACGGGCAGAGGGGCAAGATCGGGAAGCTCAGGCTTCCGTAGGGGCCTGCTGAATCGCAACTTCATCGACAAGGCCTTCAATGCCCTCAGCACAGAGCACATTCTGTTGCTTCAACTCTTCGGGCTTGCGCAATGATGGAGCCACAGGTGCCTCTCTTTAGGTATGATCTCGGCCCAAGGCATCCAATGATAGGCCCATCAGGGGAAACCGTTGCGTAAAGTTGCGTTTCCTCTCTGATGCCCCTTTCACGATGCATGCGCTATGCTGCGAAGCACAGCCGGACGCTGAAGTGAAGTCCTGTTTGGGTACGGGCCCGCATCAAGCAACAAGTGAAGTCACAGCAGGATCACCCAGCAAACTCCAAGAGGTTCTGCATTCCCGTAGGGTTGGCGAGGATGATGAGGTGGTGCATGCAGGCTGTGATCCACCTTGCCAGAAGACTCTCAGAAGACATTTTCCTGACCTTCACCACTAGAACAGGATTGTCAGAGGTGGAGTTCCACTCAGAACCATTGGGCATCCGCTTCTCCCACGTCCATCCGTACGTTGTTACGGCCGAGGCTGACCGCCGGGTGCTCCTGAAGTCTCGCCAGGGTGGATTCTGACTTACGTCAATGGCAGAAAGCTGCCCGTGAACTGGAGGCCAGCAGAAGACATGCTCAGGGAGGCTCTCCGATGTCTTCCACAAGCCACGAAGAAACATTCTCAGCGACATGCGGTGCCACCGCCCGCGCCTCGCAGAAGATCGGTTCTGCAAGAGGCTATCGGGATGCCTGCACCGAAAGGACGCTTCGAGGCAAAGTCAGAGGATTCGCCAGGTGTTTTCGACTGGGTGCCTGCGGGCTCCCTCGAACACAGCACAGACATTGCCTGCTGTGACTGCCGGGATAAGTGAGAAGATGTTCTGGGACCATGGTTTCTGGGTTCGGTTCGTTCGTGCTGACCCACCCCGGCTCTGTGCTGCTCCACTTGGCCAGAACGCTGGGCCCGGAGATCCGGGCGATTGGCGAAGGCTTGGAGTGGACTGTGTTGTGTGACCTCCTGCTGTGCCAGTCGGGTCAGGAGCTAAAAGACAAAGTGCGGCTGAACAGTGTCCAAGTGCCGTACCTGGCTCTCAATGCTGCTTGGGAATCGCAGCCCCTCGTTTTTGTCGGAGTGGTGGGAGTGGAGGGCGGTGCCCACATGTACAACGGATCCTGGCGCCGCTGCGACGATGAGAGGGACACGGTCACTTTGTATTTCTTCAGCTGCAAATTCCCGCCGGGAGCCCACGTAGAAGTCCGTTCACTTCACTGAGGCATCAAGATTGCAGATGGATTGGCCTTGCAAGAGTCCATGTGCGAGGTGAACAGGATGCGCGGCACCGGCCGGACAGGCCTGGCCTCCAGGATTCTCCTACTTTCGCTCAGATGAGCACGGCCAAGTGACTTTCGGTTTGGTGGATGACCGGTAGCCAAAAGTCTGTCTGGCGGAACCGGTGGATTGTGGATTCGTTCAAATAACAGCCCTGTCGACTTCGAGATCACTGATTGCCAAAGCACGGTGTCAACCTCCTCTGGAAAAGCTTTGCTGAAATTCACCTATGCCTATGCCCCCCTTCGAGCAGCGGAGGCAATGTCTTCCTTTGAAGCCATGGACGTCGCGCAGGTCAAGTGCTCAGGCCCCGCACCCATCCTACAGCGTATGCGCAAGCGACCATTCCAGGGCATCGTTCGCCGATTGACACATAACATGTTCCTGAACATGGAGGGGTGCTACACCCAGCAGTCCATGGTAACATTGTCCGGAGCACAATTTAATGATGAAGAGCGGTACATTTCACGTTCGCGAGAGGATTCGTGTAAACCGCCGCTGGTCAACTTTAAAGACTCCTTCATGCTCTTTTACCAGTGCAGCGACAAGTTGATGAATATCAGCCAGAAGGAGCAAGGCGTCGTTGCCCTCATTGTGCGCCACAGTATGCCGACCCATCGTACCACCGGAGTGCCATGGGTAGACCTCTCTGTCAGCTTCCTCACTCACGACAATGTTGGCCTCCTGGCCCCTCAAGAAGCGGAGTATCGTAATGAACCAGGCGGAGTACGAGACGAGCTGTTCCAACAAGTCTTTGAGGTCTTCGAGCTGCAATGCTTTGCTCCGGGAGGCACTGGTGGTAGGAGTTCCCACGACCTGTTGAAACATCGGCACCGCACCGGCCGCAGGACGGGGGTAGCGGCGGCCGTGGGAGTGGAGCGAGGTCGGCGGGATGAGCTGTGCGGCCTCGAGCGTGAGCACCCTGAGTTTCAGGCGTGCGCTGGTCGCGCCATTGTACGCACTCTTGGTGGAGCTCGGCCATCTGAAAGAACGCGAGAAGACCCTACCGAAAAAGGCTGACTCAGCGGAGACAATGCTCGAATCAGTCAAGGCGTGTAAAGAGCACGGCAACCGGTTCTTCGGGTGCCAGCAGTGGGATGATGCCATGACGTGTTACAGACGTGCCATCAATCTTTTGAACTCCGGTGCGGCGATATCAGCAGCAGAGGATGAGGAGGCTTTGGGCCTGGAGCTGACGGTTTGCAGCAACATGGCGCTGTGTTACTTGAAGTTGGAAGATCACCAGGAGGCCGTCATTGCTGCGGATAGCGCATTGAAGCACTTGGGCAAGTGCGGCAAAGCACATCAGATCGAAGCTCTGGCAAAGAAGATTTGGAGCAGAAAAGCCGAGGGCTACGAAGGTTTAGGTCAGTTGGCTGAGGCAGAGAAGGCAAGGCAGCGAGTTCCGAAATGAAGAAGAAACTGCACATGCCCGCTTGCACTGCTCAAACTTTCCAGCAAGTTGCGTAATGGTAAGCACCGGACCAGCACACGGCAGCAACGTTGAGGAGGGTCCGTGTTCAGTAAGAGCTGTGGGTAAAGATGGCTGACGCTTCTGGTCTCTGAATCCACATGCACCACAAAATAGCAACAGCAGAAGCTCAGGTGTTGTAGGATCTTGGGCTCAAGGCAGTCAGGTGCACAGTTCGGCGCAAAGAGAACTGACTGAATACTGACTGAGCTCACGTTGGTTCAGGTTGATTTGTGTGCTGAAATTCTCCGCACTTCTCGTTATTAATCCATAGATCGCGTCTTCATGCCGCTGGCTCCGGGCAGTTTGTGTCGGTGGCCAAGGCCTCCGGCCAAGGAATCAAAGGCAAGATAGTGTCCCCCTCAATCCATGTAGTGATGGTTCCAGACTTTGACGGGCGTAGCGACGTACACAGCCGATGCAAAGCTGCGATAACCAAAGCTTGCTAGAGACGATAGCAAATATAAACTACTCGCAGCAAGTACAGGTTAGGAAAAGGCTTCTTCCATTTTGTCCATGACCACTGCCACCACTGCTGCTGCTCCTGATGCGACTTCTACTACCATTAATTGTTGCTAGTATGACAAATCATCACTAGATTCGTTACATCGCTTGAACCACGGTGGGGGTTGTAGTAGCACTCAAAGTTTCAACATCGATGACAGTAGTGCTTGAAAGGCTCGTGCTTATGGTACGGATGCCAATGCTACTGCTGATGATTCTAATGCCGATACATACCATACCCGAGACATGCTCAGCCTCACAATAAAGCAATTGTAGAACCACTAGAAGTTGCAGCTGTTCGATGCTGATCATGTACCCAATGCCTGCAGCAACTGATCACCGAGTGTGAGTGAAGTGATCCACAGCTCCCGGAGCAGATATCCGGGTCATGCGAGGGCTTTTCGACTGCTAGTCTCGTGTTGGCCTACCCAGAATCCGTGGGGACGTTGGTCTAGGGGACGTCCGAAGCTGAAGCCACCTCCACGAGTGCACTAATCTGGACGGTTGGTGCTCTTTGGGATCGATGGATGATGCGCTGAGTGGACGACCTCGGAGGCATTAAGTGCAGGCGAATCTTTATTGGATGAATGGCAAGGGATACGGGCATATTTATTATAATTATTATGCTCAAGCTCATGAAAGTCTATCAAGCCGTTTCGGTTTGCATCGGGGCACTGCAAAACTTCACGCATTCCCGAACTTGATGCTTGAGATATCCCCTCGTGCGTCCTGTCCATATCGCATTCCAGCATCGCATCCTCATGTAGGCTGGAAAGCTCGAATCCGAAAGCCCTTACACGCCAGGCTGGAGTTATCCGAGAGTGAGTCCAAACCCAAACCCCAGTGCAGCCTGTTTCCGACCCTGAATTCTTGCTTGGAACTCTCCGAGAGTGAGACTCCAAACCGCCTCGTCGGCTAGCAAGGCGGGTGGCAAAACACCTGAACAGTGAGAACGTAAATTACGTACACCGCAAACCCTAGACCTTCAGTGCTACACGCCGGCTTTCCGACCGTAGCCATGGCAGAGGAAACCGCGAAAGCAGGACAGGGCCCTTTGAAGCGTCTCAGATGGAATAGCAGGACATACCGATGACTCGAGCCCCGGGATGTGATGTAAGAGTCCATCGTCCGAAGCGGGCTCGCCAAGTTGACTCCTTAGCAGTTGAACATGAGTACCTTGAAGCCGCCATATCTTCTAGAGCTGACTACATGGCATCGCGGCTGTGATTCTGCTAAGTTTGTTTGCTAAGAACTCCCAGGGGTGGACACCGGACTGTGGAAAGACGATGCTGCCCATTGTATTACTAGCACATGCCCTTTCTGCGTAGTGCGTGACGCTCGAACCACCGGCAGCGGATCGCGCCAAGGATTTTCATCTCTCGCACGCCCCGACCACACCATGTGCGCAGGGCGGCAATGGCATATGCTTGTACGCAGGCGAGTCTCGCGTCTTGCAGTCGGGAATTGGGAGGGCGGATGGTTTTGGGCCACTTGCTGGATCCAGCCGAAAGATTGCAATCTTTGCGAAAGCATGCTGACAGTAGCTGCATGCCTTTGAGCTGGGACTTTCAGAAGCTCCTGAGAATTAAGGTGTCACGAATGTCCTCATCGGACGAATTCCCTGTCCCCTTAGAAGACATTCGGGTGGTTTCGAAGTCCCCCTCGCAGGTCGGCGCAGGGCTGTTGGCTTTGGGGCCTGCCGTCGCGCATGCAGGATGGGTAGGCATCTGAGCTGGATCTGCAGTCAAGCCGAGAAGTGAAGTTTTGGCTTGCATTGAAAAAACTCGCCGTTAGGACTTTCAGAGAACCTCCGAGCCCAAGTCGTGACAGACTAACGTGAGTCGGAGGCATTCCCATCATCGTGCTCTGTGCGTGCTGCGCAGCACACACATCCTACCTTTTCGGCTGGATCATGCTCCAGACCCAGGCCTGGTTGCAGCAGATCGAGGGAGCGCCTGTGAATTAGGGTCGCAAACTTCAGTGCCGCAGGGCTGAAACAAGTAGGGAACAGCAACAGCAACTAGCATTCATCGCGCAAAGTCCTAGACCAGCACTGCGCGAGCTTGGGTGCTCAAAAACTCGGTTTCACGTGGTCCCTGTATTGGGCCAAGTGGCTCAGGCAGCTGTTGCCAGCAGCGGCTCATTGTCTGCGGCGACCTCAGCTCCATCCCCGGGAAAACTTTGTGGACCGGTCCCCCCTGCAGGGCTACGATCATGACAGTGACGAGGAGTCCTCGAGCAGTGAAGGCAGCGCCGGCAGTCCCGACGTGCCTGAGCTCCTTCTAGCTTTAGTCTTTTTTGTCCGGCCGAAGTGCAAAGCAGCCACTTTGCGGAAGTCTGCCCTGCGCACTTAAGGACACGGGCAGCGACAGTGGGGACGAAGAAATTCTGCAGGCAACGAGTTCCAAGTTTTGCCTGGTGCATCGTCGTGTACTGCCTGCTGTTCATTCTGAACCAAGACAGGCACAGCCAGGATATCTGCGAAAGAGAGACGGGAATTCTTCACTTTCGTGTTGCTCGAAATGCTGTGCAGGAGCAGCCTTTCCCAAGCTATGAAAACATTGGCTACCAAGAGTCTTGGCTGAGGTGAATCGCAGCTACCGGTTTTGTTGAACAAGTTTTCTCTCGTCGTTTCAGCTTGTGTATCACGGGACCCTCCAACGCGGCAGTTTTAACCAGATTTAACTAGAGATGTGCACAAGCCTCGATGCGAAAAACACTGGACTGAAGCATATCATGTCGGAGCAGGTAGCGGATCATGAAAAAAACCTGTGTGCTATGTGTCGCAGGGAGTAGAGCTTGTGCACAGTAGACGTGTATGGCATGCCAGTGGACCTTTACTGGAAGGATAAAGAGCCAAAGCTTCTTGTAAGTTGCGACTGATCATTCGATTCTAGTTCTGCAGAGCAGCTGAGGCAATAGGAACCTTCGGCTATTTTCTGTCCATGCTTCTACAGATTCTCGCCGGCATTTTCTTGACGGTGTGAGTGCTCCGTGCAGTTGTGAACTTGCTCAGTGCAGCTGCCTGCCACCTTCCAGGAGCCTCATGTTAATCGGCGTTTGTACAATCTTCCTGGTCCTGATCGGAGTGAATGCCGCGCAAGTGGAGCGGTGACTCGGCAGCAGGCAACGCAACAGTGATGGCACAGGCGTGGATTTCAAACATGGTGCCGGGCATGAGAGCTCCAACATACCTCGGGACATGTTCTGGCTAGTGTTGTCTTTTCGGCGTTGAGATTCGCAGCATATCCATTGGTTCGTCGAGGATCTTGGGTATCGAAGGGCTCTCAAAGCGGAGCGTGATCCTGGTGGCAGCAGCGTTTGAGCTGATCCCATGTGGCTTGGAGATGTGGGTGGAAGGTGTTTGCATCTTTTGGTGTGTGCTTCAGGTTGGATGGAGGGTTCAGCATCTCCAACTAACTTGCCGCCACGACTACGATCCCAAAGCAACGGTACATGTGCAAAAAGGAACGCTTTACGCAACGGTTTTGGAGTGTTTGCCGTGCCTGTCGTCTATTGAGTTCTATTGATCGCCCCGAAGCCAAGCATGTGTTTCCAGGACTGTATGATCAGCAAATGTCTGTTGGCATCCTTGTTCGTAGGTTTGAGGGTCTGTTGCTTCAACTAAGCAACAAGCATAATAGTCAGCATTAGGCACACGAAGTCACTTGGGTGCGGAAATCAGTCCGGGCTCTCTTGTTCGAGGCAGTCTTTCGTACATACTAGGCTGGCATATCCCCCAGCATCTGATGTCTCAACAACAACGGCACGTTAGCTCTCTTTCCGCTTGCATGATTATGCCAGCGAAGATCGGTGCATTTTTCCGAAGCCAGAGGATCTGCAGAGTTCCGACACGCTTATGATTCAATCGCCCCGCGAACTTGAAACCTTGTACAGAACCCACCGTTCGCAGATCTTCGAGACTGAGGCTACTTCATGGCCACGGTCAAAGAGACCTTTCTTCTCACTGCACTTGGAGCGCTTTGTTCCGCCATTTGCGCGGCGGCTCTGGCTGTTTTGATTTGCACTCTTTATGCCGGAGGTATGGTCGGGAGAATTTGGGCCCACCTTGTGCCCTCTTCACTTGGGAGGGGAAGTCACAACAAGACGTGGAGAGGTCAAGACAAGAGGGGAGGGTGCTCAACAACTATGTACCCTAAATCCTCATAAGGTGGTAGTGGTGGTGGCTGCATTTGGCACAGACTCCTCCAAGATCGGCGCGCTGCTTGAAAGCAGAGCATCCAGGGACAGCGCGGTAATTTCTCTTGAACTTGGCTGGGAAACTGTTGGGATGTGTTGTTTACATGACGGAGTTCTTCCCGACACAAACTGCATGATGCCAATGGCCAATAAGTGGCTTGCAATAATTTGCGCTTTTGAGCCACTGAGTTTCTTGAAGCATTGTTTCCGACTTCGTGCTGAAAGTCGAAATCACAATCTCAAAAATGCGCATTATTACGAGGACCCCGAACTAAGGTTCCTCTAGCTTTCACGAACTGCCAAATCCGATTCGGCAAACAACTCAGGTGCTTGGATGGTGGAACGAACAGTTGGCCTGTTTATACGAACCTGGAGGGGCTCTGCCTCTGCTGGAACACAGTGGTGTTTGGTTTCGGAGGCGGGTGTGGGTTGGCATTCTGGTAGGCTCTGGGGAGCCGGTGTGTCGAAGTGGAGAGGCCGTGTCAGAACTAGAAAGCGAGGGCACCGGCGAATCGTCGGAGCTGTCAGTTTAGCTCGACGAGGGAGCTTAACTCGACAGAGGAGGGCTCAACACAGTCGCAGAGGCATGGATCTGTCCAGCCGCCTCACAGGCATCAACGTCCTCCCCAGCCTCTTGTCGGATTTCCACCTCCGTGGCGTCCTGGCACGGGTGCTGTCCTCAGCTCTTGGCGCACGGTCTCACACTGGCACACAACCAGCAGAATTCAGCAAGCAACGGCAACTGCAGAGACAACGGCAACAAGAGACTCAGCAGCAACACGAAATAGCTACGACCCAAGAAGTATGTTCTTTACCTTTCTTTGCGTTCGCAAGATCAATCCACAAAGACTGTTTTCCGGCACTTCGTCAACTTCGTGATGCTGTGTCGACTTGTGAACCTGTGATGCTTGTCCACGCCGCCACGACCACGACTGCGACTACAAGAGCAGCTACAACTACAACAACAGCATGCAACCCCTACTACCGCACCTACAACCGCACCTACTACCGCACCTACTACTACACCCACCACAATAACTACCACTACACCAACGTTTACACCTACAATTACACCCACCACTACCACGACGACGACGACTACTTCTACTAGTTTTTCTTACTTCACCACCACCACCACCGCCACCACCAGACGCCACCGCCACCACCACCACCACCGCCACCACCACCACCACCACCACCGCCACCAAGACCAAGACCAAGACCAAGACCGAGACCAAGACCAAGACCAAGACCAAGACCAAGACCAAGACCAAGACCAAGACCAAGACCAAGACCAAGACCTAGACCTAGACCTAGACCTAGACCTAGACCTAGACCTAGACCTACACCTACACCTACACCTACACCTACACCAAGACCAAGACCAAGACCAAGACCAAGACCAAGACCAAGACCAAGACCAAGACCACCACCACAACGACGACGACTACTAGTACTACTACCACTGCTACCACTACCACTGCTACTACTACTACTACTACTACCACTACCACAACAACAACAACAACAACTACTACTACTACTACTTCTGCTACGACAACTACAGTACAACTACAACTACAACTACAACTGCAACTACAACTACGACTGCCACTACTACTACTGCTACTGCTAGTGCTGCTGGTATCAGTACTGGTACTGGCACTGGCACTGGCACTGGTACTGGTACTGGTACTGGTGCTGGTACTGNNACTACTACTAACTACTACGAAGTTCTACTAACTACTACTAACTACTACTAACTACTACGAAGTTCTATTAACAACTACTAACTACTACTAACTACTACTAACTACTACCGAGAACTACTAACTACTACTAACTACTACTTCCACTACTACTACTACTACTACTACTACTACTACTCCTGCTGCTGCTGCTGCTGCTGCTGCTGCTGCTGCTGCTGCTGGTGCTGCTACTACAACTACACTACTACTACTACTACTACTAC